TGCGTAAAGGCCTCATCCAACGGTCTGGGTGCGCTGAAAATTCTTCCCAGCTAAGGGGTTATTTAACTGCCACTTCTCTATATCAGGGGGGATATTCATTCTAGTTCTTCCGTGGTAGACCCACTGCTGAATGACCGCTTTCGTATCTGCACAATATCCCCGCCGTTTCATTCGCCCTAGTATTTTCCAAAGATGGGCAGCGCTTCCCTCATCTAGTAACTTCAAACCTTGGGTTCCGCATGTTGCTTGCAATGGACTCTGGGCCCACCACGGATCTCTGAATTACACAGGATAAATGATTATGTGGGATGAATTCTCTTATCGTGCACCCACGTGGTGTCTTGATAGCACTCAAGAGTCCCTCATCTTCCTGTGGCCCCCCAAGGCCAGATGGGCTACGAAGTCGTTACAGTCGATCAAAAACTTTATTTCTGTATCATCCAGATCTTCTAGTGATATGTCAGGGGGATAGCCGCTTCGAAACCAGACGGAGGTGATGCCAAAAGTGCGGGCAACCAGCAACACCCCTTCAACATACCGAGCTTTTAAATATTGTGAATCGAATGGCATTATCACAATCTCATGAATCTGAAGAGTTAATGGTTCCCACCAGTAGCTTATTCCTCTAACCTGTGACACCGGGAGAACTGGCTAGCCCAGAATCCGTGAAACCAACACAAGAGCCTGTACTTACTAGTGTAAACGGATGGAAAGAAAATTTGTGCCACTGCACTACCACGGATACCAGCCCCAAATATAATTCTCGGGATTCATGAAGTCTTGACAGCTGGATAATCTTGGCGGAAGCAACATAAATCCCTGTATTGCTGAACAGCAAGTACTTTCTAAACGGTTTAATACCAACTTCATTAACTCATGGCACACAATTGTTACTTATGTTTTCCCCCCTCAAGAGTCCAAAAACAACCGCCACACTTTCGCTACTTTCAGTGTTTCGGAATGAGGCTTCTTCAAAGGATCTTCGCACTTATGAAATTGCTGGGTGATTACTAAAACCACAACTTTTACTCTCATTATCCGTTCTTCACGATGCTGACTCAGTTGCTGTAACCGAAAGCAGGACCTTGACGAGCTGGCTTGATGGCTAACTTACGCTCTTCCAAAACATCAGAAACATTGGGTTTCGTCCCTCCACTTTCCGCGCGAGCGCTGGTCTTAACTCACTTCCTGCGGGTGCAAGTCAGCAAATGTCAGACTGACTGACGACGAATTTACCTCATTTGTGTAGTTCAGCTTTACTGAGGTATTCCTGCAAGTTGGGAGACTATAGTAGAATGTTAAGAATCAAGTTGGGTCCTCCTGTCACTGTCTCTCATCTTCTTTGACAACCCCGAATACACTCACCCAGACATGAATAGTCATTCAAGCCTAAAGCGGAAAGTGAGCTTCACCTCAGTACTAACCTCTTTGGTTAGCAATAGCTTGCAAAATGTGTGTACTGGTATAGGCCTCCTGATACACCGTTGCATTCAATACATTAGTCTGAGACCATCACTGTGTCCACTTTCTTGATGAAATGAAGGTGAGCTGTTGAATGCCTTCGGGCTAATAATTTGGCAGACTCTTGGCAAGCGATCTCCACCAAACAGAACAACCATGGGATTCGGCAAGTCTTCAGAAAACTCCCACTAACTGTTGTCAGCAGTCACCTCCACATTTAACTTGAACTGTCTTGTTGCCTCTTTGACTCAGACATTGGAAAAGGTCAGCAGAAGACGAATTATGAGGCAAAACAGGGACGGTATTCATATTCCAGAATGACTCATCACCACTTACCAACATAAGGATTTAAAATCGAAGACTGAACCGTCAAGCTTTTCAGAAGGTTCCTATGGTAAACATCACGTACTAAAATACAGGATGTCCAACGGTGAACAACTAACATTCCAAGGCAGCAACCGTACAAACCCCCCAAATGATTTGGATAGTTTACCAAGAAAACCTACAATTCAAAATCCTAACTTCCGCGTTCGCCAGCGTGTCTATAAAGATAGTCTCCGGTAAATTTGTCAAACATAAATCTGTTGGCATGGCTCCAGTGAATGATGGTTCACTGCCACGGTGGCAGGGAACTAACAGACAGCAACGTAAACGGCGAGAATACCAAATTCTAACGAAAGAAAAATTGAATCCCACAAAGCGCCCAGTCGAACGTAAGTCCGTTGTGCGCAAACACTGAAAAAAGTACTCCTTAGAAGTTAGCAAATCGAAACAAATAAGTTCTCTCATATAACCAGACGAAAACAGTTGGCCAGAGAAATTTATTTCCAATTAAACCACGTACTGGCCTCAGGCAGACACCGGCCGCTTACTTACAGACCATGCAGTAATAAAACCAATTCTTTCCAGCTTTAACAACTGCCTCTACAACTTCTTCACTATTTTCTGAATCTTTTCACCATCAGCCTACCATATTTATGTAAAGAGTAGACCAAAGTACTTGCCACAGTGCAAAATGTATGGTTTCAAACCCCAGTCTCGCTAACAGTCAATTGACATTCAGTCGCATTATTCACGAAAAAACTTGGAAGCTTAAGAGTAGCTGTGATGGTATCATTCTGCACTTAAAAAGACAGCTTATGCATCCTAAATAGAAACCTGTGAAGGGTTGAAGAAAGAGAAACAACACTTCATCAAAGTAAGTTTAGCTTTTCTCCTTTCGTCCAAGTATTTCCAAAGGCATCATACTGTTGATGAGAAGACTGTCTTCCCTTTGGTTTCTAGCTTAATATCACATTCGAGTAATCTGACAGCTCCGTTCGCACATAGCAGATGATCTGCAGGGTTCCTTTTCATCTACACATTTTATGCAGACCGGAAGCCAGGGTCTCACAGAAGCCGTGATCGGTAAAGGATGCAAAAGGGACTACTTCACGTGTTGCGATTCTTAATGAATGTTATCCATGTGTTCAATATACGGGTTCACGAATCATTCCGTCATAGGGACAGTGAACTGCCCAGTAGCTGTGGAAGTCAGTTTCAAATATCTTAACTTGTTCTAGATCGGAAAAGGAGTGGGAGTTGTTCACCTATGTCTGGATAAACAGGACGACCAGGCATACGAACCTGTCTCCATAAATCGTAATCCTTCTCAGCCAGCATGCAACAGCAGATTAGTAATTACCGTAACATGATATGCGGCGCTTGGCGAAATCGGAAGACCGACCTCGGTCACACATGCTGAAAGTCAACTCCAGTATTTTTATCTTCACCTACATAGTCTTCTGTGCATTTAAATAGGTAGTTGAGTTTTGAATGTCCGTGGCAGAAAGTGCTTCGTATGCTTGCACTCCCTTATTAGCTTCAGGATACTCTTGGCCTCATAGCTCACACTCATTCCACTGTATCACGATCACGCATCTCAACACACAAATAAGTGCTTATCTTCTTTCAACTTAATGTCTGTAGGAAACCTTTTGTTTCCGCAACTGTTTTCCTGCAGAGCTCTTTCTGTCCCCCTCCGAATTTCTGTCTCACGTTACAGCAATATTCCAGTCTGCCTAATCAGGTGAAATATGTGACGGTGGAAAGATAAGCGATTTCCGCATATAAGCGAATAATAATAATAATAATAATTCCTGAATGTACAGGCACACAACATTTTTACTGGCGTGAATAAGTTTATGTACAAATTACATTCATCTTCATGGAAGGTAATCTGAATCCCTACCCGTTGTCACCATAAGATATAAGTGCTGCATGTTCATACAATGGAACATCCCAACAGAATACGTGTGCAGAGAATTTACAAGTTGGACAAGTGGAAGTACTGTCTTCACATTAACGAAAAAACCAGGTTTGTATCTAGACACTACAGGTATTACCTGGAGAAAAACAAAGCTTGAGGCTAATACTTCCATTTTAACAGTTTTTACTCTTTGCCTGAGATAATGGTGAAAAGTTTATGAAGGAATGATATCACTGTGGAATTCTTGAAGCCAATGGTATTACTCGAGCACAGGTAGATGTTCCTGTGTCTGATGAATGGTCAGGTGGACGCTAACAGTAAGACCTTTACAAGTAGCGGCGTGATTAAGGTCACCTGTCATCTGATAGTTCCTTTTTTCAGCTCTGTGTGTAGTGTCGACCCGTAACAGGAGCGTCTGTTAGGTTGTCGCAAAACTGAAATTGAGACGTGCTTAGAAGGAAATCTTACATCCTGAACGAGTAGTGCAGCTACTGTACTGTTCATCTTATCAAGCAATCTAATGAGATTCCACACCTAGGCTAACTTATTGTATTCCGTCGCATAAAAAACACATCCATCTCTCCTATTAAGAACGCTTTTGAAACGAGCTCAAGAAGGTCAATCCCAGCGCCTGCATTTCACAAGGCATGCAGAGGAAAAAATAAACCTCTTTGCATGTCAAATAGTCAAAAAACCAATGGGACAGTTATAATAAATAATGGAAAAGGTGAACTAGCTAACAAAATGATCCTGAGGAAGAACATGACAATAATTCACCCTCTTGCGCATATTCCATCTTTGAATACATATACATCCTGTGCTTTTCCGCATCCATCTTCATTGGCCATGCTTCCCGTTAGCTGAAGAGGGAATTCTTTCGTTTCTCCCATCACCGAATATTTGGGTCACATTGTCTCCCACCGTCTGTTTATATCACGAAAATACCTCTTTTGATGCCCCATTTGACATATGCCTAGTGAATTTTTGTGACTGGGAAACTAATGGTAAATTTTAGTATGTACACTAAAGTCTCATTTCTGAAACATTGGTATAGATAACATGTAGCTGGTAAATATTGTTAATATGTCTGTTTTTATTTGATGAGTAGCATTTATTCTGAATGGTCACAAACCTATCTTCAAACAATCTTTTTTTTTTACTTCAGCTTCTAATCTTCTTTGCAGAAATCTGAGAGATTAAAATTAACCTCAGTGATTACAACGAAAGGATTTCAAAAGCAATAATTTCACTCTGACGAATTCAGATTGCATTCAAATGTACTTGTTTGAATCTCCGTTCGACTAATTAGCGCGAAGGATCGATACGATTCAAGGTGTTGTGTTGTACTCATTATCATGACAGCTTCTCCTGAACAGGTGGACAATTCTTTCCAAAGTGAGTTGTTTGGCATGTTGCATTTATATCCTCTTTGTCAGAATACAACTTATAAATCATGTATCACATGAATGTTTACTGTGTATAACTATTATGTCACTGATTTCCCACTGCTCGGTCTATAAATGGTTTTAGAATAGTTTAAGTTTTGATATTACCTTCGTTACTATACGGAAACCATCAGAATTCTTGCAAGTGTCCCTGCTGTTTCTACAGGTCTCACTAAATCCAGTTGTATGGGTCAGTCATTCCATCCACCTGATTGCCTCAACCTTAATATCGCGCTTCATTTTTGGACAAGGTAATTGTGACAAGTACCCAGAGATTCTTTAAGAAAGGTGTTACTCATCAGTTGCACATTATCGTACTGGGTAAGTGTGCATCAGTATGTCACAAAACAAAATGAATGAATTCTAAAACCCACAAGTTACTGAGCTCGCCTAGCTTTCTTACCTACAGCTAAGATGTTTTCTATTCTAAGTGATTTGTTTCCTTGCCTTTCGTCCACTTTATAAGTTATTAGCAGTCTTCTACAACCCAGTTGTATTGATTCAGAAGGCTGTCAAGCAGTGATCCGTCTAACGGAGTCAGCACACGGACAGAAGGTAGTCTGCAGGTGAGTTAAACACTGCAATGCCCCCTAGCACTCGAACACGATTCACGGAGATCTGCAAACTCACGTAGGCAGATTATTATTATTTTCAGAATGCAATCACCGTGCACCGATGACACCAAAGAATGCACTACACACATTATAGCAATATTTTGAAGACATAAAGCGAAGGGAAGTGGGTAAAAAAAGTAAAAACCCAATAGGTATGGAATGATTAGGAAAGCACTTCTTTAGAGATACATTCAAAACAAGACGTTTATTACTTTCGACCAACAGAGGATGGAATAAGGCTACAGCATAGCCCCACCTGGTTTTGGTTCTAACCCGTGTCTGATAATGTCTTTAGCTGCTGTGCTGCATGGTTACTTGGACCCCACCGAGGCGGTTGTGGTGCGCAAACAGATGGTAACCCGACACGACCACACTTTATTCCACAGCACCGCCTCGTACACTGGCCACACAGCCGCTTTTTCCATCCAGTCCTAGGGCTAGCAAACAGTGAACGGCACTATGTTCATACTGCATGTCCAAACCACCTGAGTCTGTGCTTCTAAATGACTACTTATTAAGTGAAGGTCTCCATCACGCCTAAACACACTGTGCTATCTCAGAATTATTAACGTGGTGTTGCCAACAGAAATGAACAATCTTACGGAGACAACAGTCGAACACAGTCGTAAAGCCAGACTCTACAGGCGGAAGGCAGAATTCGCACCGAAGCGTAGTAAACCCAATGGTTGACGATCAGGCACTGGCCACACAGCCGCTTTTTCCATCCAGTCCTAGGGCTAGCAAACAGTGAACGGCACTATGTTCATACTGCATGTCCAAACCACCTGAGTCTGTGCTTCTAAATGACTACTTATTAAGTGAAGGTCTCCATCACGCCTAAACACACTGTGCTACCTCAGAATTATTAACGTGGTGTTGCCAACAGAAATGAACAATCTTACGGAGACAACAGTCGAACACAGTCGTAAAGCCAGACTCTACAGGCGGAAGGCAGAATTCGCACCGAAGCGTAGTAAACCCAATGGTTGACGATCAGGCTAACGTCACTAACGCCAAAAATGGCCCAGGTTGGCGCTTCTCCCTCTAGCTTTCGATATGTTGTTAGAAATTTCATCCCACCACCAGCGCTCAAACTACCCTGACACATGAACATTTTACTACTCCCAGCGGCTCACCACCGAAGTTGAGTGCAGGCACAGGCTCCTGTTAATCTTTCAAAAGTACTTCACACTACGACGGTACAAAGCACTCACCGTACTTACGGACACTAATCGCCAACTAAGTGCGGTTTCAGTAGTACGTGTTCATCATCATCATCATTATCAACATAGGACCAGGCATTACTGCGTAACGGTCCGAGTTGCCACAACTCATATCAGCACATCAAGTAAAAGGTAGTGAGGTGAAGGATGAAGATAAGTGAATGCAGTCAAAGGAAATATAAAGTACGAGAAGAAAGGAAAGAGGAGTGACAAAATAGTGAGATTCGGTATAGCGTTGTTAAGATGAGGATAATGTGTGTATACATCTGCGCCACTGACTTCGGTTTTGAGCCATATCACCTAGGGTCTCCAACCACTGGTTTCTCTTGTCCCGTGGACCCCAACCACTTAGTCTGCATCGTCCTACATGGCTTAAACCAACAGTCAGAGACTTCATACATTGGTGCCATGTTTTAGTCTGGCCACCTCGGGCCTTTTTCCAGCCTGAACCCACCTCAGCCAACATTGTGTGACGAGGCAATCGGTGACTAGGCATACGTAGTACGTGTCCCAACCATCTCAGACGATGAAGGTTCACAACCTCGTCGACTGACTTACCTCTTCTCCCTAAAACTCTACACCTAACTTCTGCATTACTCACATGGTGACACCACGGAATACGTCCTATACTACGAAGGCAACGGTGGTCAAATACCTGTAGTACGTGTTATCCCAGTACGACGATAGCAACCGCAAATTCGAGGTCGAATCGCCATTCTATGAGTAGTAGATCTATACCACCATCACACATCTTCCAAAGCTGTCTCAAAAATGTCTTCGATGACAAAGTTAAGGAGGAATGAAGAAATCGGGCAACCCTGCCTAACCCCACTGCTAGTTTGGAATAGTGGAAATAGGTATTTGTATGCCCTCAATCTATCTGAAGTGTTATTATATACGGCTTTTGGAATTTTAATAAATTCCTTAGGCACTGCCCTCTAACAGACAGTTCCATGGTACAGCTCTGTCCGAATCAAAGAAAGCCCTAGTGTCAAGAAACTCAGTGACTGTTGGCCTGCAATACGTCTGGCGATGTTCGAGGATATGGGGGAGGGTGAACACATGGTCACTGCATCCACGACGTGGACAAGACCTGGCCTGTCCCTCACGATTCATTTTCTCACGTGTTTCGCAAAGTCTGTAAAGTATGGTAGCAGCCAATATTTTCTATTTGACTGGTAACAGACTAATAAACCGATGACTCACATACATTACGTAGGCCCTTCCTAAGGATGGACACAACAGTAGTTTCCTAGATTGATGGGACACAGTCTGCCATACCTCTCTAAACAATCTAGACAGTTCCTTGACTAGAGTCACGCCCCCTCCCTAAAAAGAGCTTCGGGGAAGTTGTCTAGGTCGAGTGCCTTCTGGCGTTCCAGGACTTAAGTTCCTTATGGACCTCCGCTTTGTTAAGTGGGTCAATGTTAATTGACCATAAAGAACGGTAGGCTGAAACTGAGGACACTGGGGCTGTGGGCCAGACAAACTTTCTTGAAGTGTTCCACTCAGCATTCCAGCCGTCTTTGGAGATTCCATATTGATGGATAGTGGCTAGCAGTGGAATCCAGGACTCACGTTTAGTTTTATTTGGGACTTGTCAGCTGGATGTACCTGCCTTCCAGTGGGCGGTTATTCCCTATAAGACTCGAACCCGGGACCGATCACTTCGAATGATAGATTGTTTATCAGCGTACCATTACCTCATAGGCCGTCTCACTGACACGACGCTTCTCGCTGCCGGTGACTCAGATAAGCTGAGAACATTCGACTGTTACCAAATGTAGCTGCTGCTCTTAACTTACGCACCCTGACCACCAAGCCCTATGCTGGTCCTTGCGTAAGTGTTGTGTAATCTTTCGCGTAAGAGGCTTAAGCGAATCACTGCACTCGCTAACCGCCGGAGTTGTCTGGTGAGCACCCAGAAATTGCAGGGAGCTCTCAGAGACCCAGTGTTTATTAGCGGGCAGCTTTACTTGCCATTTTCATGGCGTCGTGCAAGTGCAGCTAATGCTCATTTACACTTTTTGAACGATGGCTAGTTAGCCTTTAATTTATCTCGAAGTTGTATCTATTTGGAATGTTAGGTGGGACTATTTTGCTTGCATCGACCTGTTTAGGACGACGGTTTTGATGACCAAAACGCAAGACGAGCTTAGCACACACTAGCGTGATCAAAGTTCAGACAAGTACTTCATATGGAGCAACGGTCGTGTATATACTGACGCTATCGGTAGCTGATTGCAGTATGGTCTTTTAAAGTCTAAGTTTGAGTGGCAAAGGGAGGTCGCCAAGTAGCACAACAGCAACGGCGTTTCCGGAAACTGGTGCTGGCTAGTAACAAGTTGTAATCTGCTCAAAGCTGCAGAAGACTATCCCCATTATGCAACCTACAGCCACCTAAGCAACTCTTTTCTGAGCCTAGACGCCCGACCTGCGCATTCATGCACTATGATATCTATCGAGCGCACTTGGTTGAGGTCACTCAGGTGATATAATCCATCCTTGGTTGTGTCCGGGCTGCAATCCGTCAGAGCATAGGCAGAAATAACAAAGAGATCGCTTCTTTTGCCGGTTACTCCTTACTCAAGATAAACTTTCTAGCCTAACAGCACAGACAACTGTTGATGGGGGTCCAGTTCGGCAGTACAGCTTCGGCTCCAGCGCTTAGTGCGAGTAAATCCGTGGCTTAGTGGTTTAAGGAGACGACTATCAACCACTGACTCACAATTGGGAACCCGCTCCACCTACCGAGGTTTGGGAAGCCCGGTAGTATCACCAGTCCTCACTCAATAGGTGTGGCTCATTGCCTACTGCATGGAGGTCCACAAGGTGGCTGAGTGCATTTCTTTTGCTTAGCATGACCCCATCAAGGTTGGTTGCCGATGCCACAGTGTCCCCGGATAAACGCATGTGAAACGTACTCTTCGAGCCGATAGGTGGGAAACCTCTTCGAAGCGCTTCACTGGTTTCTTCGATTTGGGTTTCTGAGACATCGTACAACAATAGCGAGGCTTACCAGAGTCCTAGCCAGATCTGCCTGCTGTCTGATCCGCATCACGGTGCGGACTTTAAGTATGGCGAACTTAAACGGTACGCGTGCTTTCAGGATA